TGTGAATATTCGCGAAAATCACGAAGTGTGCGGCCTCTGGTGGCTAACTGTACAAGTCTTGCGAGTATGAACAACAAATATGGCGACCATTGTTTTGAATTATTGAATTTCATAAATATGTGTTTCATTGGAAAATAATTTATTTGTTGAAGTGCATATTCCAGAACCTCATTTCTTCCTGATGAAAAAACTCGAATTATTGCATGAACTTTTATTGTTCACAATAAAGAAACCAGTACCTACCTTATAATAATATAATATACATTTTCTGAAGCACAATTAGAATCATTGTATAAATGTTGGTTGCAATGATTCGATCTTGAGAATAACTTCAAGTCCTCAATTGTTGGAGATCCTTGTTTATGTAAATCGATGATATTATTATCATTCTGAGCAGCCTCTCCAACCATATCTTCTTTCTCAACCCCTTCACTAGAATTCCATCTCCTTCATAAAAGCCAGTGATATTTCTTGATGAATTCAATTATTTCTTCATACCTATACCATATTGTTGTAATAGCTGATTGCTTGTATGGTTCCATTCCAGTCCATGCAAGTGTTGAGTGGACCATTCCGATCATTCCATATGTTTGAAAACTGTGGGATTGTAGTGCATGTGATATCAATTATGAATACCACCATTGTCCACATCAAAATGGCAATTTCTCTGTACAAAAAGTAATTTTTCCCATACTGGAAACCTTGTACGTATTTCAAGAAGTCAACTTATTATTCACTATTTTGCAAAATGATTTGGAAATAACCAATTTGCAATGAGTGCATACGGCAATGTTTTTGTTGTTCATACTCAGTTGGAAATTTGACGTTGATTTGACGTTTAATAGAGCCATCTATTGGTTCGTGATTTTCGCGAATAAGAGATAAGAAGACAATAAAATTTGAGAGTTGTTCCAAAACAATGAGATCATCTACATTCTACATGACTCTACTGCCGTAGTTGAAAGAATGAGTTTTTCTTCATTTGGGATACTTTTGAAATTTCCGAAATTTTGCACATTTTCAGGTAACACCCTATAGCGATTTTAAGTGAATAACCCTATGTTTTGAAGAATAACAAGATTATATCTGATGGACTGGGCTAGCGAACAGTGTGATCCGAATTCAAATCGTTCAAAGCAGAAAAAAATTATTCATATTTGCACAGATGCAAAATTTTGGGGTGTGACGAAATTAGTGATGCGTAAATTATTATTGAACCACAAGCAACATCGCAAAAGTAATTGATTTTGCGGTGCTTGTGATCTCGCCGAAAGCAAACGCTTGGTTGGGCTATTAAACTCTGGTCACAATGATTTAAGAAAGTTTCAGGCGAACTTTGAAGCTCAATATCTTCCAAAATATTTGTTTTTCGACAAAAATGTATTCTTCCATTTCGTTTTGTTTTTTTCGGTTCCTATCACCGATTTCATTGATCGTCCAAATTTCAGAAACACCAGTATTTCGAGGTTGAACAAAAGAGGATGTGCTGACTGGGCTTTTCGACTTTATCGGACTGGTATTGCTGATGATGGCATATAGCAGAGATTCCTGAAGAATATTTCCCGTGAAAGAATATCTATAGGAGAGTGAAAGGTCGCCAATTTTTATACGGTGTTTCAATGATGTCAAAGAATTAGTGAGTGTGGCTTCACCAACCGGATGAATGGCTGTATCACAATATTCAAAACAAATTGAATGTTTTGATGTAAGTGTATGTATGTATATCGAACGATTCGAAAGATATTTCATTCGAACACATTTTGAAAAGTATACCTCGGCATTTGATCCTCAATTCCTAGGGTGGATGATTTTGTTTTCTTCTTGAACTAGAATAAGGGTGGTTGGGTATTCTAAAACGATACAGAAAAAACAAAACAATTTAATGTATCAACAAACTCAATTCAACAAATAAATTATTTGGTAACACGGTCAAATAATAACAATAAATCTACAGTCGTCTTCAGAGAACATGTCGCACATGGACGGTGTCAGCACTCTTAATCACCGCTGCAGTAACAGCGCCTATACCGTCCAACCGCGACATGTTCACTGAAGACGAGTGTACATAAATAAAACCACTCTCTGAACACCTACCAAAATGATTTGTCAAAGCCTTATGCTATAATCATCACGAGAAGTTCGAAACTGTTCGTCCTATATCATAATATTCCTAACACAGAAGCATCTATACAGGGTGATGCATTAGTGCGTCGGAGCTCGATTGCTCGAGTTCAATGATAGCTTGAAACTTGATTTCAAAGCAAATGTGAATGAGATAACAAGGTCTATAACTAGAAATTATTGCCGCATATACAGAGGGCACCGGAAAATATCTAGAGGGTCAGAATCACTTTTTTTAAATGGAATGGCCTTGATGTTAGCACATTTTTTGAAGCATCCTCCAACAACTCCTATATCATCGTTGACTGAATCTTGATCATTTCAAAGTTATTGACTGCAGATGCATACCGAAAAAATCACTTTAGTCACAATTATGAAATTCAAGAGAGGATAATCATGAGGATAATCATAATATCATTTGATGGAAGGATGCGTAATATTTCTGTAGAATTTTTATGCCCTCGAATTATACAAGGTGGTTAAAAATGATTTTTCAATTCGGAACTATTGGAAGTGATTTTTCTCAAGTTTTTCAAATGAAACACCCCATATATTTTATGGCCATTTTACTAAATTATCAATTGGGCTTTCGATGTTTCAATAACTGATGAGAATGTGTATCGATGAAAATGACCGACCTATAATTTTCGAAGTTCAATAATTCAAAAATGGTTAGGAATATCAATATGGATGTTGAGATAAAAGATGCTCGTGTCTCGATTTAACACCAAATGGTATTGAAATATATGGGGTGTTCAATTTGAAAAACTCGAGAAAAATCACTTCCAAAAGTTCCGTATTGAAAAATCATTTTTAGCCACCCTGTATGAATTGAGGACATGAAAACTCTACAGAAATATCACACATGTTTCCATCCAAAGATATTATGATTATTTTCCTCAAATTTCATAATTGTGATTACCAGTGAATTTTTCGGTATGCATCTAGCAGATGACATTATTTCATGACAAAAACAAAAAAATTAATTACTTTGAAATTATCGAGATATATTCAACAATATTATAGGAGTGGATTGAGGTCACAGAGATGATTAAGAAAATGTGCTAATATATGTCCTGAAAACGACGCGAAGCAGAGTTCGTAGACTTTTTGCGTGCGGAAAAACCATTTTGCGCACGTGTTAGGAACAAAATTTTTCCTACGATCTTCATATATTCATATAACAAAAAAATAAGAGAAGCAATGGCCAACCCAAAAATGACGACAACTTTTAGAAGGTTTTTGATTAAGTGCCTCTTCCATGAATCTAGAAACTTCACTTTTGAAAAGATTTTGACCTCTTTCGGTCGGTATCCCACATTTGGCTTCTTTAAAAACGATGTTAGCTTGAAATATTTACTCAAATTCAAGTTTATTTCAACTTCATGAGCACTTCTTCACATAGAGTAGGTAGGTACTTAATCCATGAAGTATTTTGCTGATATGTTTTTTGTAAATCTGCCAAATAGGCTAGGAACACCTCTTCTTTGATACTATATTCGTCCCTTTACAGGGTGTCCCTAAAAGGTGCGGAAAAAAAGCTACCACAAGTTCCTGAGGCGTAAATATGACGATCTAACTCAACTTACCTCAGTCCAAAAGTGGATGATTTCAGAGATACAGAGTGTCAAAAGTTCAATTTGATTTTCATATTTTATAAATATTTTTTTTAATAATTGGTGTATTGTCACAATATTCTGCTAGGGGGGGTTTTGCTGGTTGAGAAATTAGAATTTGCTATCATTTCAAATGTGTTCAATTTTATTATTACAATAATTTAGACCTGGCCATTTACGAAGTGAATTTTTAAAATCCAGATATCTCAAAAACAGCTGCTCAAATCAACTCTTACCACGTATACATTTTTTATGTACAAGACGTTGGACAATCCGAATTTTCATCTAAAAATTAAATATGGGATGGCCCAAAAAAGTTATTTCGTTTTAAATGTGTGCAAGGTTCCGCAGGTGGCGCCCTCTCAACTTTACAATACAAATGATATCAAATTCTAATTTCTCAACCAGCAAAACCCCCCCAAGCCAAATATTGTGACGATACACCAAATAATAAAAAAAATATTTATAAAATATGAAAATCAAATTGAACTTTTGACACTCTGTATCTCTGAAATCATCCACTTTTGGACTGAGGTAAGTTGAGTTAGATTGTCATATTTACGCCTCAGGAACTTGTGGTATCTTTTTTTCCGCACCTTTTAGGGATACCCTGTATATTGGCACCATATTCAAATTATATATTGTTTGTCATATTTTTGTTGAGATTTAGAGAGCAGTAATTTCAAACTTGCAGAGTTTGCTGCCTCTATTAGGATAGAATCCGATAGCTTGTATTCAGAATTGCTCATTTTAATAGCTTTCAAACTTTTTTTGATCTGATAGAAAAAAGAGTGTCAGTGTTTGTAGAGTCTTCCTGACGAGGAAGAAGCTGACATTATGTCAAAGTTGACAAGTGCACCCATTTTTATTCGACAATATTATTTATCATTATACAAGGTACTTAATTTTGTATGTCTGTCTTAAGTCGAAATACATACTAATATCAGGAAATACTGTTGAAAGGCAAAGTGGAATACACTTGCAACGGCTTCTCATTGCTTAAAATGGCCTATAGGAACTAAAATGAATTCAAATTCCTCATACTAGTGAGATCTTTGAGTAGTTTCACTTTTCCACACTCAGTGCCCACGGCGTGCAGAAAAGTGTGACTTTGCTCATGCAAATGTGCGCAGAGTAGTGCACGCTCGTAGGAAGAAGTTTTATTCCTTACGAGTGAGAAAAAATATTATTATTATGTTGTATGTCAAAAAACCGTTTTGGTAAGTGCTCATACAGAGTGAGCGATCATTCGCTATATCTAACGACTTTTCTTTTGATGGGCTTCCTCGGTCTAGTAGTTGGAGCCCTTTTCTTCTGCACACTTTGCCGACTCTCCCCGAAATAGTGATCGTTGTGGTCCAACGCTGAAAAATCTCCCACATCTTCCTCTTTCAGCGGCGGGTAGATGGGATGTTCTTTCTTGGGAGCTTCCACCTGGATGATCTTCTCCTTCTCATGGAAGTAGTGATGGTGTTCTGGCACTTTGACGATCTTGGTGTGGTAGATGGTTTTTATTTTTTGTGGAACGTGGATACGGTGGTGAACACTGGAAATATAAAATTGGAACATTGTTGAGTCTTCAAATAGAACAGAGTGAGAGCTCGCCTAGGGCAGCGGTTCTCAAACTTTTTTGGTGAAGGAACCCTTACAAGAAACTATATCGTCAACGGATCCCTATTAATTTCGATCTAAAAGTTCATTGATTCTCAAAAAAACATAAAAAAGGTAGATACAGTAAGTAGTAAGTTAGTGATGGTGTTCCGACACTTTGATGATCTTGGTGTGGTAGATGGTAAGTAGTAAGTTAGTAAGCAAATTATAAAACTACAAGTTCATTCAATGGAAGGCATGAAATTGTTTTTTATTTCTCATCAACTGAGTGATGTTAGATTTGGGAGAAGAAAGATGAATTATTCTCATGTCTGATGTCTGGTTCGGCATCCAGTTTATTGCGGTATATTGTTTTTGTGGCTGTCTTTATCTGTTGAAAATCCTGTTCGACAAAAGTAGGTTGTTGGGAACGGTAGAAGAAAATCCAATTTTCCAAGTTTCTTTTGTGTCTCTTTTATGAAATATTATATTTTCATTTCCATCGATGTGCCAATCCTAGTGGATTCTGTCAGAATTCTGAAACACTTCTTGCAGTCTGAAACTCTTCTTGCAGTCCAGAGATGCCAATGGCAAGTTCTGGTACGATGGAACTACTTGCGACACTCTCCCTTGCAAGGAAATCTGCCGTTTCATCACCTTTCATAGCAGAGTGGCCAGGAATCCAGACCAGAAATAATTTGTAGACTCTTCCAATCGCGGGGAGTCTTTTCTTGCAGTTCAATACCATCAGTCTATATAGACGTTGATCGGTTTGAGCTGAGTGCTTTCAGAGCCTTTAGACTATCCGAGAACTCATACATGAAGCATAGCTGTCCTCAAAGCGGGACCATCTTCTGTCTCTATAGGTAACGAAATCGACCAATAGGCGTTGATGCCGACGATGGGAAAAAATAATACGAAACTTGTAAAACCAATACGGCTACGAATTTCAAATTTTCAAATTGGTTTTAGTATTTGCAGTTTTTGTGGAGCAAAGAATCGACAGGAAGATCTGTAACTGACAATCATAAAACTGAAGTTAGGATTTAGGAGAAAGCTTTCAATATTGATAATATCTTATCTGATGCATAGGTAGTACGGTACTAGTAAAGGCTATTCTACCTATTGATAATAAAACATGATTACATTTGATGAAAACCAAAGCTTTGTAGGTAATGGTCGGTTCAACATGAGTTTGACAATGGAGAGCCTCATCATTTTTCTCATACATTATCAATGGAGTTATCAATAATCTAGCAACAAGCATAATAGAATGGGAATTTCCTTAAAGTTAACCAAGTTTAAATCAGTAAATGACAAGTAGTGTAGTGTAGTCCTATCACGCTAAACAGATTTGAGTAGATCAGTTTTACCTGATTGAGAAAGAATACATATACCTAGGTTAATCCTGACCTATATTCAATATTCAATACGAAGATCTGAAGCAATGATGTTGGATTAATGGGTGTGAGTGTCGAAATTCCACCGAACTGAATGAAATCATTATCGCAGTTCATTTCATTATCATCTGCAATGGCTCTTTCCTGCTCTCAAAGTTACTGACATTATGCTCTGCTATATTTTAACCACATTATAAAGGAATAAATCGAAGTTGACGGTATTCTACTGTGGTATCATCAACACTTGATGATTTTTAATATTTTATTATGATCAAATAATTATTTGGGAACCTAAACAAACTGAAAAAAATGATCCTCACGTCAGCAGTTTCCATCCTTCACTATACGTCTATATAGATTCAAAAAGTATCTCTCCTTTTGGTTCCATTTTTGTTGAGATATCGTATAGACGATGTGCCATATATAGAAATAGTAGATATATGGTTTCCTTCAATCTCCATACAAAATACGGTACAAGACAACTTGATATATCAGTCCTATAGGCCTGTGACCGTATACACCCGCACAGCAGAGGTTTCAATTCGATGCATGTCATAAATTTACTTGGTTTACTCTAAGACATGGCAGGCACTTCATCAAGTGAGCAAATCGTTGACTAATACACCTTTCGCATTCTTACATAGATCACCCTGTATAGTGTAGGAATTTCGTACTTACTGATGATGAGAATATCCTGGGTTTGGTGAGCAATCAATTGATAGGATCAGGTACATCGACAACAGAAACACCTGTGGAATAAAAAAGTAATCATCAGTTTCCGATTTCATGCAGTTATTTATGATGGATTTTCAGAACAATCTTCTTCCTACTATAGAACACACTTTTATTGATTGTGTTATTGTTCTCAAACTAAGAAATCAACTTTTGCTACCTATGACAATACCTACTAATTTTTAGGGAAGTTAGTTGACTTTACCGAAGGAGTATAGGAGTTGTTAATGTTGACAGGATATGAACAAGGAGTTATTCAATGTTCTAGGAGATAAGTCGGAATTATTTCCTGTCTGAATACACTATTGAAAATTATTTTAAAATCTGGAACTAAATATTTCATTTTGTGCAATGAGGATAGTGAAGGAAATTTTGAGATGTAACTGAGAATTCACCAATCTTGGTGAATAGTTTTTGATATCCTTGAATATAACAGAAAATATTTCTTGTGTGTATTTACGTGTTCCGCATGAAAATTCACTGAAGAAATGATATGATGACAGTGGTTGCGAATAACCCAAAGGTCAGATCGATCTTTGGAAAGAATTTTGAATGGAAAATAGAAACATGTATGTAATGTAATGTAATGAGAGTAATTATTATCATTCTGTTTAGAAATTTATTGAAACGAAATTATTAATTCTAGTTCAAATTTCTGTAATTATGCTTTACCTAAATTTTCTTGTATTACTGTTTATCTCAAAATCACTCCCTATACACAGTGTGATCAAGTTTCAATGAGTATGAGTAATGCCTATGTACAGGGTGATTCAAACTATGGCGCAAAAATATCGACATATCGATTTATACAGGGTGATTCACATAAGAACCGACATAGAGCAGGGGCATGTAGGGGGTCCCAAAACATGGCAATTTAACGCAACTTACCTCTATACCAAGTTGCTTCCCTGAGGAGTTATAGGCTTTGAAAGTGAAGTTATAAATTTAAAAAAAATCAATATCTCTGTTATTCTTGAACTTGAAGCAACCAAATTTGATACACTTTGTGGATGTATCAAGGGCGTTACTTGACAGTAACTAGAGTTGAATTGAAATTTGTAAAGGGGGTATACCGGGTGGCGTACGTACGTACGTACGTATTATTCAACAAATTTTTTTTAACCCTTGATGGATTTCAAAAATCTTTGCTTTGATTTGTGAGCAATTCAATTCTCAAACTTTTCTTAGTCCAGTAATTTCTCGAAAAACCTCATCATTTTCATCAACAACTCGAATAACTGAAAACGCGTGCTCTAGATCGAGGTGTGTTATTTAAAATCATCGAAAATTCAAAAGTTGGCTGTGAAAATAAACGTCCGCATGGCTGTAGGCATCTCTCCGTACCTTGGGGGAAGAGTTGCCAGAAAACACTTTTTTTTTTTCGTTATTTTTTTTCAGTAGTAAAGTTTTTTTTATGTTGTTCTAGGACCAATATTTCAATGAAAAATAGATGAAAGAATGATCGTATGTTTTTTGAAATACATATTTTTTGTTACTCGAGTTTTTATATTTTTTTTACAAAAAGTGCGGCATCTATCCGTATTTTACCCTAGCACACCTAGAGCGCGCGTTTTCAGTTATTCGAGTTTTTGATGAAAATGATGAGGTTTTTCGAAAAATTACTTGAGTAAGAAAAGTGTTAGAATTGAATTGCCCACACAACAAAGCAAAAATTTTTGAAATCCATCAAGGGTTAACAAAATTCTGTTGAATATTAATGGTGCGCCACCTGGTATACCCCCTTTACAAATTTCAATTAAGCCCTAGTCCCTGTCAAGTAACGCCCTAAATACATCTACGAAGTGTACCAAATTTGGTTGCTTTAAGTTGAAGAATAACGGAGATATTGATTTTTCTCAAAATTTATAACTTCACTTTCAAAGCCTATAACTCCTTAGGGAAGCAACTTGGTATAGAGGTAAGTTGCGTTAAATTGCCATATTTTGGTACCTCCTATATGCTCCTGCTCTATGTCGGTTCTTATGTGAATCACCCTGTATATCGAATAACTATATAATCGAAAAAACATATCGGCATGTATATATACCTGATAACGATATCATCAGAAAAATATATCGATATGTATCGATATAGCGATATTTTTTGTGATATCGTTATTCGATATATTGATATATATCGATATATACAGGGTGTTAACAAATAATTGTCACAACGGAAAACTGTAGATTCCTAATGAAAAAAATAGTTATTTATTATACAAGGGAAAAAAGTAGTAGATTTTAGCTCCAGGTTGTGTTGTCTCCCGACGCGTAGCGGAGGGAGACAAAAAACCGTGAGCTAAAATCTAATATTTGTCCCGTGTATAATACACTATTTTTTTCTGTGATAGAAGGCAGGACGAATCAATATTGAGAAGATATCACATCATTTCGAAATCTGAAAATTATGGACGTGAAATTTCAAGTTTTTAACAGTAGGGACACCTGCGTTTTATATAGGCATCTTTATCATTCTTTTGAAGTAATCAAATATCTGATGTCACTTCTGTCAGTTCAATTCTGTGATTTGATTTTAAATAATTGCGAATTCAGTAGTTGTTTAGTAATATACGAAACCGCGAAGTCGAATGGAAGATAAAAGGACTTGCAGTTCTTTCTCGGAGACGGTATTATTGACTCATTTTTCGGAACTATAGCACAACAAAAGCCATTAACAGAGTATTAGACCGTTGGCCCATAACACTAGGGGTGTCGATTATCTACGAAGGTATGCCCTTCAAGAGACATGAAGATTGAGTTGGATTATCGGAAAAAAAGTGATTAGTTGGATCGGTACCCGGTCGCCCATCTCCCTAATCAATCAA